ATTATATTATTGTGCCCATTGCTACTCCCACATAGATGGTCACTATATATAGCTAGCAAATAAAAAAAATTGATTCTCTTACTTCTGAACCACATCATCTTCTTCTAGTTTGTGAAGATATTGATGATAATGTGATACCATTCTAGGGTTCCTAGAAGGTATGTAGAAATGGTATTTAGCAATGAGGTGATTTTGAAATGGTAAGGGAGCAATAATACGTAATTTTGATGGTATTTGGATGGGGATCGGTGGTTATCGTAGCTAAAAACAACAATGAGAACTATAAAACGATTTGATGCGGATGTAGAGGAAGTTCACCACACGTTCCCGCACAAACTACAAACACACAACATGCAAAAGGAAGAGAATTCAATACTCTCTAAGGTAGAAAATGGAGATTACAATCCCTTTAATACTCGAAACAAAGTAAAGGCCCCTTAAAACAACTAATGAAACAAATACATAGTTTCTAATAGAAAACATTGTAAAAAGAAATAAGAAATTAGGAAAGAAATTAGAAAAGGAAAAAAGTTGGTCTCAAATAAAAAAAATGGGTTAGGATCGTGTGGTTATGTGCGCCTCCGATCTCGGAAATTGCCTCTTCCATGATATTGCGGAATTCTTGTGAACAAGATTGTGTGATTCTACAATCTCGTAACTCTGTTGGACACTCCACGTACTCTCTCCGGTTAAGAGAGACTTCACCCTTGTCTTTTGAAAGAGCTAGATTCCACTATCGAATGTCTTTCCACAAAACACCTAAGAAGATTTCCACAATTGTGGCTCATTACTCTTGCCCGACCATGTATCAATGCGTGCACTGATGAACTGAATTGAAACTTTGTATGTAGTTCAATCAATAGTCTTCCAAAAATCACTCAAAAGTTTCTTGTTTCTATCTGAAGTGATGATACATTTGACCTCCTAAGTTATGACAACTGAGGTGTAGGATGTTGTTCAGACAATCCTGCAATTTACTTGGCTGGGACTATCATGTTTTTTGTATCAGATTCTTGGACTGATTGTCATCTAGGAAAACCACTACTAATCTTGGTGGTGCTTCTCTCACAGGCTCGGTCTGTGGGACCTGTTGGATTATTAACATATCTCTCTAATTTGTTGGAAGTTGGTAATCCTCTTTTGTGTCACATGTTTAGTGTTCTTAGTGTCATTATATATGTTTTCCATTGCTCCCCACTCCATGGATGAGATCATCAATCTGTCTGGCCAATTTAATACAATGTGCCCAAAACTGTGACACATGAAACACTTCTTTGTTGGGACAAATTTTGGAGTGGGCTCTATCTCTTATTCACTTTGAATTCGTTTCTTCTCTGTTGGGTTTGGCTAAGATGCTCTAGAAGATTTACTTTTGCTGCCTGATCCAATGATTGAACACTATTTGAAGGGTGGTGTGAAACTAATTCTGTTATGTTATCTTTCCACTTTCAAGTCTAGGGTTTGAACATCTTGTAATGTTATATGATTGCAATTCTAACATATTGCCAATAGACAGCTCAATCCCCTCTGATTTTGAGCTGTTTTGTTCTTCTTGGGCTTTATTAGCTCATATGTCAATACAAGCTACTCGAACTCAGTCGTGTACTCCTCTATTGAGAGATCTAGTCGTTGTTAATGATGAAGTCTTGAGAACACGTTCTGTCTGTAATGTGTTGATAGGTACTTACGTTGCATCTCTTTTTTTCATATTGAACCAAATTGTGATTTTGATTTTTATCTCTCAATAGTGTAGTCATTTCAAAATTTTTCATAATAGAGATACACTCTTTTTTAACTTAATGACGATTTGTTTTACCTTTCTGTCAAGTGGGATGTGCTTGTATTAAAAAATCTGTTTCACTATCTGGAGTCGTGTGATGAACTTCATTCGGATCCATGCGGCCATCAAAATTTGGTAAGTCAATCTTTACTCCAAAATTATGGGTTCTCTAATATTCCATGCCAAATCTTTAGGGTATTGGTTATTCATCACTTGAAATGCCTGGTGGAAGATATTCACTTCCTCTTGATTTGATGAGTCACTGTTATAGCAATTGTTGACTTCACCAAATTATCTCTTCTTAAACACAACAAGTTTTTGTTGCAGTTGCAGGATTTATGGCTGCATATCATTCATAGAAGTTCTCGGACATTTCGTTGAGGGTTTCGCTTTGACGACACAATGTCCTTTTCTCCCACTTAGGTTTCGGCAGGTTTAGGGTTGCAAATCATCATTGGTCAGGGGCTTAGATTTTTGTGGTACGTGTTGACATGTATTTTTAGTGAAGATAGAAATATTGAAAATTTAGGGTTGGACTTAGATTTGCTGAATGATTTGGGGAAAATTTTGTTTTGGTGGGATGTCACTTTAAGTTATATGAATTATTGGTTTAGGTGTAGGAAGCTTGAATCCAAAAAAATTTAGGGTTTGTAGGCTCTGATATAAACAACAACAACAAGCCTTTATCCCACTAATTAGGGTCGACTGCATGAATTTGCAATTTTTAATTGTTGTTCTTGTTGTACTTATATCATTGAATTATATTTGATTTGGATCTTTTCAATCTACCCAATGATTATAAAATTATGCTATGTATGAAAAAATGGAATAAAATTTATATAATTTTTTCCATCTGCCAAGTGGTTTTAAAGGTCTTGTACTTTAATTTGAAATTTTAAAAGAAAGGTCACTTTTTTAAAGACATTTTATTGTTTTCAGAGGATCTATAGTTAGATGCTTGATGTTTTTATAAGCGATGGTATTTATCTTTTTCATCTACGACTATGGGCCCATTTATTTATTCTTCATATAGATATGCTTTCAATGGATGAATTACAGTATTTTGTGACTACAACGTAAGGCCTTTTACTTTTCCTCCTTATTGCTCAAATTCTCCATAGTAGAGTTCTTTCAACTTGATTGGAATAATGTGGGACCAAATGAATTTTTTGTCATTAAACATAAGTATACTATAGCTGTTACTTGTGTTCGAACAGGTGGATTGAATTAGTATTTTCCTATTTCAGTTGGAGTACATGGAATGTAATTTTAGTAGTAATAGCTCTAGCGACAGAAATGTGACTTTCGGTGATTATCTTGGGTCCGTTGTTCAAAGCGATGGTGATATAGATGGGGATGTTAATAGTAGAATTCAAGTTGGTTGGTTGATGTGGAGGAATGCTTCGTGCCTTTTGTGTGATAGAAAAGTACCGCTTAGACTGAAAGGAAAATTTTATAAGACGGTGGTGAGACTTGCAATGCTCTATGGCGCTGAATGTTGGCCTTTAAAAGAGAAGCATAATAATAAGTTAAGTGTTGCCGAGATAAGATTGATTTGGTGGATGAGTGGCTTTACACTTAGAGACAAAATGCGAAATGAATATATCCGTGATAGGGTTGGTGTAGCTCCTGTGACAGACATAATTAGAGAAAGTCGTCTTAAATGGTTTGGTCACATTAAACGTCGACCATCTGATGATCCGATTAGGATAGTAGATGTTTTAGATTCGACTTGTGTTAAGAAAGGCTGAGGTAGACCTAGGAAGACTTGGGCTTATTATATTAAAAATAATCTTAATTTACTAGAACTAAATGAAAATATGAAACTAAATAGGACCCCATGGAGAAAAAGGTTTCATGTAGCCGACCCCACGTAGTGGGATTAAGGCTTTGTTGTTCTTGTTGTTGTTGTTGTTGGATTACATCAGGGAACGACTTTAAGCCCATTATTATGTTAAGTGCCATTATTTTGCCTTAGTTGTGGATGTTTTTAATGGAAATTTACAGGAGGATGTACCTTTGTGTATGTTTTTTGTTGATGTTATCCCTGTTGGGGATAAGAATAAAGTAGGTGTTTAGGAAAAACGTCAATTATGGAGTTCAAATTTAGAGTTTAAAGCCTTTCATTTTAGTAGATATAAAACTGAATACTAGAAATGTAATTTTTGTGGTAGTTGATTTAGTGGCCGGTTGTAAAATTGGTTGATCAAGTCTTTAAAGGAGCGAATGTTTTAGATTTCTTAGGTCTATTGTTCAAAATGATTATCATATAGATGGAGATGTTATTAGTAAAATTCAAGTTGGATGTTTGAGGTGAAAGTAGGCGCAGGCCTATTGTGTGATAGAAAAGTACTGTTTAGACTTAAAAAGTAAACTTTGTAAGATGATGGTGACACCTAGAATGCCTTATGACGCAGAATGTTGGCCTATAGAAGAGACACATGAAAATAAGGTATGTGTTGCTGAGATGAGAATGTTTAGTTGGATGAGTAACTTCACACTTAGAGACAAAATGCAAAACGAATATATCCGTAAGGGTTGTTGTAGCTCAAGTGGCAGACAAGATAATAGAGAGCCGTCTTAGATGATTCGGTCATATTAAAATCAACATCTGATGATCCAACAAGGAGAGCAGTTGTTGGAGATTCGACTTATGTTAAAGAAAGGTAGAGGTAGACCTAAATAAACTTGGACATGTTGTATAAAAAATGATCTTAATTTATTAGAATTAAATGAAAATCTGACACTTTATATGACAATGGAGAAAAGGGATTCATGTAACCGACCCCACTTAGTGGGATAAAATCTTGTTGTTGTATAATGGGCAATGTGGCCTTTTTTCAATTTTTTTATGTTAGGTTTTCTTTTAATAATTACAGGATCTTCTATCTCTCACAGAGACCATGCCTCAAGGGCCATAAAATTATGGATTTAAATTGCAGACCCTTGGACCCACGTGCAGTTCTAATTTAGTCTGTGCACTCTTGAAGTCAATTTTTTATGTATGCTAGCCCTTTTTTTTTAAAATTTTTTTTGTAGAAACTCAAGTTAGGGAGTGGGTTTAACACTTTTAATTAGTATACTTGATTTGTTTTTTTTTTTTTGTTAAATGCTCTACTAAAGTTAAATGCTCTACTAAATGTTATGTTCTTACCCAAGCTTTCAACTATAACGGAAGATTGAAATTACAGTATAACTTGTCCATTAATGTCTTTTTCAGCTGGGGCAGGGTAATTACTCAGCAGAGAATACAAAGGTACTACGGATGGTGAATTCTTTAGGCTTTGATAATGAAGCAAAACGCACTATAGAAACATTGCGAGCTGAACTGCGGAAAGCTAAGGCAAAGTTGCAAGCAATTGAAGAGCTGACTGGACAGTCAGGTAATGTGTCGTCTTGTTTATGCATGTTCCAGTGGTTAGCGAGAGACGGCATACTGAAAATATTGTTGCCAGATTTTCTTAGTATCATCAAGCTTATGGTGTTTGTAGTAAAGGAAGTTTGTTGGAGTAAATTTTGAAGTGCGTAGTTCTAATTTAAGTCAGCAACTTTATTAAATAAGAAAGCTAGTGATTGATATATTGTGAAATCAATTACACATGGAAAACTAAGTTTGATTATATTAATTTTAATGGAAGCATATAAATCATATAAATATACTTGAAGAACACCAAAAATTTCGGAGTTAAAGATTTCAATTCACACTTGGAGCTTATTTTATTGCTTGAACTATGAAATGCAAACTGAAATGTCATATATACATAATGACAAAGCTGATACACACATATTAAATTAATTTTATATGCTATGTATTATATTATGCATTAACACTGTATATGTAATATTAGTACCTAATGCTTAAGTTTCTAATTATTTCATAAACACTATATGATATATGATTCAGTTGATACACAGGAAAATACAAAATTATTGGTGGCTCCTCTGATGGGAACGTTTGCGGTGGTTTTTTTTTTTTTGGAAAATATGTTGGAAATCTCAGAGAATTTTCATGGAAATTTTCCACAAAAAAAAAAAAAAATCTGCCAGATTTATGTGGCAATTTTTTTGGTGAAAAATTTGTTGGAGTCTTGCTTTATCTTATCGTGAACTAGATCCCCCTTCCCCCCATTTGCATTTTTCCGTCTTCTCAAATCAGATTGATGAGATCGTGCTGACACTTCCCTTCTGAAAAATGGTGCTTGAGCAACTCTTCAGTTGCTGGCAAGCATTTTTCTATTTCATCTTGCCACAAATTTTATATTTTATTTTTTTGGTTAGATTGTTAACCCATGAATGTTTTTTTATGGAATGGCATTTTAGTCAATACATGCAAATTTAGGATTTTTATTTTTTATTTTTTGTTTTTGTGTTATGTATGTCCATGGTTGTTGAGTAAATTTTATTTATAAGTTACCTTTGTTAATTGTCATCTGTTTTAAAATGAATTTATATTAAAAAATTATGATAGTAAAAAAATTATTATAAATGATGATGCATGTAATGAAGAGGATTTTAACAGAATTTTTTGTTTTGGATATCACAGTGGTGCTTGTACTAGTTCTATCATCAAACGAATAACAAGTAGAAATATATAAATTAATTATGTTTGATGAGGCTGTCTCCTAATTTAATGGAATTGTTCAAGTGCCTCTTAAAGATCAGGTTCAATAACTATGATATATTATGTGTTTTTTAGCTTTCTCTGAAGTTTTTGCAGTTGTATGGATGCTTAGTACTATAATAGATTTTTAGCATACCTCTAGAATGTTTCAATCAATTGTTGGACAGTTAAAATTGAGTAATCTAATGGCCTCTAATTTTTGCATGGCCACAATTTTGGTATTGAAGTTAGATCGGAGTACACAGAAAATGGATTGTTATTTTAATAGATGCGTATCATTACAAGGATGAGTTGACTGTGATGAAAAGTAAATATTGTGGAGTGCTCAGATAAAGATTATAATTTGGAAAACCATGTAAACACAATGTGCCATGCACAAACATTGTGGCAGATATTGCCATTAGCGCTGCTATTGACATCTTTCCTAGCAGATCTCTATTCTAAAAATTGGACAAATTTTCTGCTAAAAATATCACTAGTTGTAATTTTGTTACAGATTTTTAAGTATCCATAGGCATTTTATGGAATCAGCAATTTACTGCTTCCACCTCCATAGAGTAATCTCTCTCGCAATCAAAATCCTTGCAGCCGAAGGCCTGCTTAAATTGCAAGTCAGGTAATCAAGTTTCATTTATCTACCAAATATTGAGCCAATTGAGAATAAGATTTGGGCATTAAACAGATGGTCTAGGGAATTTAAACCAAATAGGTACAATGGGTGGCTTAAATAGAACATTAAAATCTGGGGATTACTTTATTACTTTCATATTTGCATTTTCAATGTGGAAGATTTTCTCAGATAAAACTTTTGCTTAGCCTTCTTCCCTACTTAGATGTATCATAATGTGTCATCCATCAAATAGCCCAACTTTCCAGCTACCTATTAACTTCAACCCATCAAAGAACCTGCTAACCACCTCCATTTTGGGATGTTTTAATTGGAATTTACCAATCAAAGTGAACTTTAACGGCTTGGCTAACCGTCCATATCTGCTTCAGATATGAAAACGACTGACTTCTCATTCTTTCTATCAGGTTTTCTTAACAGAACAGTATTGTTATCGATTTCATCATGAAATTTATGAGGAAAGAATAAAATAGAAGCTTTAAAACCTTAAGGGGGAGTGATGTTTGTCACAATCTCAATAAAATAACCCGATCCATGAGTGAAACACATACAATTTAATGGAACAGTAAATTTTGCTAAACCCTAGCAGAGCAGCAGCTGCCAAACATCATCTCTTTATATGTATTTATGTATGCATCTATATATATATATATATATATATTAAATACAATTATTTCAATTCTAACTATTATATTTTAAGAATTTCTGTCAAGTTACTTGTCTCCCTTGGAGAATGCAATGAGGACTATCTTTGTAGGTGTTGTATGTGATGATTGTGTGGTGTTCTCCGAGTTCACGTCTTATTTTGAGTTGCTTAAGGCTCGGTGAGCATCTTCCTCTACACTAATGATAGCACCTACGACTGACTATGTGGACAGCGAGCACAAACATGAACTCATTTTGTTATTCATCCATAGGCTCCTTACCCAACCTTCTGCTTATGTCGGCTATGATGAACTTCTTCAATTTACTAGTTTTGATCAGTTCTCCAACCAAATTTCTTAGGAGGAAACAACCCATAGTGTTTTGATCGTGGTCTTCATGTAAGACACAGTATTTGGGCATGATATTTAAGTGAGGGCCGATCTACATTGGTGTTGGCCATCTAAAATAATTTTTGTTCTATATGCCTCAACTAGCTCAACATGAATGATCACACTAGTTAATTAATGGGATTTGATGGTTAGGCGGAGGTAAGGGCAACCTCTTCCTTATATTCATTCCGTGCACCAATTGTGGTGCATATTCCTTGGCTGTTGGTGAGGTCATGGGGTGTGGTAAGGCAATAATTGAGGAAGATGTCGAAACTTCAAAATCTTGGACCAATTATGTTGCTCTTTTTGTAAATTATCTCTTCCTTATTTAGCAATGCCACTTGGCCAGCTAGAGAATGATGCCTCCTTTTTATCGTTATTTTCCGTAAGATTTGCTTGATTATTGGAGAGTTCAAGCAAGTCAGCCATAGGTTTGGTTGCTATCGGCTGAGTGCATAGTGAAGTGGCCCTTCGTGGAGACTTAGATTAAGGTGGCCAAAGGTACAACCAACTTTGATTTTTTTTTTATTAGACATTTCTCTTTGGAATCTTGTCACGAAGTATTTAAGTGACTTGCTCTTGGCATATTTAGTAAAACTTGAGCTCTTTTATCGGCGTTGGATGCTAACAAATTATGTAATTAGCTTTTGTTTAAACTTGTGTTAAGGGTTGACTTCTTGAAATTCATAAAGAAAGCATTTCATTGTGCAATTGATGTCAGGCATTGAGATGATTTCTTGAAAGTATGCAATGTGGCTAACTAGATTAGTTCGAATTCTATAGAGTCTAGCTGTGAATTCATGGTGGGCTGCTTGGCTTCAATGTTTTTAAGAAAAGGCTTTCAATAGCTATGCATAAAAAGTATAAGCAAAAATATAAGAGGTGTGTAACCCAAGTACAAACTCAAATTTGGACAATTAGTTGGCCATTGAACTAGAGAAATTATTTCAGTGGCTCATCCAATGGTGATTATTAAGTAGCTCGTTTAGTTTAAATGATTGTCTGAGTTGAGTCAATCTGGTGAGTCCTTAGGTGGCTTTGGCGAGCTGTTCATGATTTGGCGGATGCCACCCCCTACCCACCATGTTAATTGTTTGATGGGTCCACATCGATCATGATAGATAGAGGCTTGAACCTAGTTGAGTGAGTCCTCTTAAGACTTGGTTGGCTAGTCCTTTTTTATCATTGATAGCAAGCGTTGTTCTTTTCAGCTTAGCCTAGTGAATTGGTTGTCTTGCTGAGTACAACTTGAGCTTGACTTGGCAAGCTCCTTTATGGCCTCTTCCAGGAAGCCAGGCTTGTTGTCCTTCCGTTGAGCAAGCCTTGTTTCAGTTGTGTAGTGCTCATTAGCCCAAAAAGTTACTATTCAATTTTAAACATGAAAATGAAAAATTTCTAATGTTTTTTTTTAACCAAATCAGTTAAATTTTAATGATTATTAAAAATATCTTTTTTTCTTGCTTTTTTTTCAAATTCACTGGAACTTTCTTTTTTAGTTTTATATTTTGTATCCATCAAATTGATATATAATAGTATATAAAAATTATTTAAATATGATTTTATAATAAAAAATAATTAAATTAACTTATTATTGATCAAATATTGTTTGCTTTTGTAATTTTTCTTTTCCACTGTAATTTAAAATAAATTAAGATATATGAAAAATTCCACTGTAATTTAAAATAAATTAAGATATATATATATTTCATGACATGAATCCTTTTGATCATTGTGTAAGTGCTAGGACATCCCCTGGAAACGACGCACTGTATAGCCTGAATACAGTGAAAAGTGTGCAAGGGCCGCTACACCGACGCCCGGGTGTAGTGTTAAATAAGCAAGAATTCCCACATTACGGACGAATGCGGGTAAAGAAGTTAGTCCATGTAACTAATGAAACTAATATTAGGATACCTTCTTCATTAGTTAGGTTCATGATTTGAATATTTCTGTAACTAATGAAACTAATAGCTCTACCTTCTTCATTAGGTACTCTCAATGGTAAATTAATGGAATTAGTTGATATTATGATTCATAGGAAAATTAATATCTTATGTATTCAAGAAACTAAGTGGGTTGGAGAAAAGACTAAGGAGATTG